AAAAATGACAGACCTCCCTCAAATTGTCTAGATGATGCCAGAACTCTAGGCTGTCAGGGTTGGAAGGGACACATGAACCCAGGCAAGCATTCCTTTTCCGTACTTTTTCACTACTTTCTACTTTCTCTAGAGCCAGCTTCCCTTCTGATCTGCATGAGAGGGAGCCTTCTCCCCATAGGCTATTTGGTGTGCCTGGAATCTATGGGGATCGTGCACCCATGTCTTACCACATCTTCAGAGTTGCTGCCAGGGACCAGGTGGCCTGGCATGAGATCTGAGATTCGGTACCCTTTGCTGATTGCAAACATTAGCCCCTTATCCCTGAGGGGTCACTGAGGGTGAGGAGCTGGGAGGGTTCTCCTCATCCATGCACTAATCAGCAACTAGCAAGGAAGTCAGGTGGCAAGGGACTTATCACATAGGTCAGTGCCAAGCGTATATGGGACCTGCTGGTTGAGCAGGGCTATCGAGGCCAGGGAGAAATTTGGAAAATCTTGAAAAACTTTTGTCCTGTTGTGCCAATGTGATCTGTTGGTCCCGCACGCACCTTCCCATAACAACCCTTACCCCCAGAAACCTCCTACTCTTACTGCTGCCCACTTACCAGATGCCCACCTATTCAACTCCAATTTCAAAGCTAATGTCAACTGCTTTGTAAGGAGTATCTGGCCCCCTCCCATCAGCATCAATCACACACACTCAATTGCTCTCATGACACCACCACCATAATATTTAAATCAAGACCACTTTAGTTAAATATAAACCGATGCTTTTCAAATTTATTACGCAGCAAGAGTCAACTGGAGAACTTGGTCAAACGCAGATTTGGATTCAGTAGGTCTATGATTCTACAGATCCCTCTTCCCCTGGGTGATATTGGACTGGGAGGTCTATGGGAGGTCCACTTTGAGTGGTGAGGTTACAGCTTTGGAGTTCCTTTTAAAGGCAGGCAAAATGTCTTCTGTATCTACTAACCAGCTTCCAGCACAGTGCCGGCTAACAGGGGGCTCACATGTCTTGGCTGAGTTGCAGTGAGAGGGCCAAAGCTTCTGGGATGTTTCTTCTTGAATTAAAATAAATGAATACGACAGTATCGGAGTGTTCTTACAGCTGAGATGCCGGAAAGTCAGACTGAGAGCTGGACGGGGGTTCACAAGAGCAAGAATAAATTTTAAGCAAAATCAGCACAGTTGCTTTACAGATCCAGAAACCCTACCAAATTGCTCTATTTAGGTCCCAAAGGAACTGGCTGATATTAGACTGTAAACCACAGGCTAACTTATTACTCGACACTGAAAGATGCTTTTCCAGTAGCTGAATACACATGACTGCTTTTGGAGAACACCTGTTTCCTATACTCCTCACAATATCCTCCTTCTGGAACCCTGGGTCAAGGCTACTGCTATCAAATACAATTTATAGGAGGCCACTGGTTTGTTCTGAGCTAGTACACCAGGCCCAAGGGACCAAAGCAAAATGGATAACTCATGCTGAAGCTCCATGCCACCAAGTTGTCTGATATCCCAAGAGCTCTGGAGGGATAACTGCCAGATATTGCCTTAAGCCGGAGTGATAATGAAGCTTACAAAGGAAGTGACTATGAAATGACTAATTCCAATTTTTGTCCCTTTTCTGCTGTCCTCAGTCCTTTCGTCTGCTCCATTCACCAGCATACTCACTCCAACATCTCTAGAACGAGATGTTTTCTAGACTCACAAAAGCTGACAGATATTTAAATTCATTTTAACTTTGTCCTTTTGAGGGTGTGGATAACTTCCACAGTCTTCCACTGCCTTGGCCCACAGATGAGTTGATGGCCCTGTGGAAGAATTACAGCAGATGAAAGCACAGTCTCACAAACTGTCTCTTCTGAAAGAAGATTTCATTTCGGTGGTACCGAGTTTATTTCCTCCTGAATAGAGTGTTTCTGCTTACTACATGAAGTCAGATAAATTCTTGCTTTTTAAGTATCTGCTATTAGCTGGCCTCGTGCTTTGGTTTCTATTTGCCTGTATCTGTTTTGACTTTAGAATTACATTATGAGGTATTTTATGGCGGAGACCATGTGTTCACACCTGACGATTTACTTACTCATCATCCGTGAGCACCTCCAGACTTAGGTTCTGAAGAGCATGTGAGAATAAACACACACTAAAGATTTCCCGGTAAACAAACAGATACAATGTGATGACACAAAAGCAATGATATAGACATGAATACTTTGCACAGAGAAGTACCATGTTCAGCTGGGAGGAGGTGGAGCTTCGGCTGAGACTTCAAGGACAAATGAGGAAGCTAAGCTTTCCAGATGCAGAATGAGTTGAGGACAGAAATAAACAAGCTGGCCTATGTGACACATGTGGAAAGGGACCGGAAATGGGACCAGGCCAAAGCACCAGGTGCCTTGAAGGTCATTCAAGCATGGATCTTACCTGTGAAGCCATCGGATGCCACTGGAGAATTTAAAACTTCCTTTCCTCAAAGCTCCCCTGACTTCGGTAGAGAAAGGAATAAAGAGGGCTTTCGGTCTGTTTCAGAGATATTTTGATAATACAGCACTGTTGATGCCTAAGCAAGGGAAGCAAGTGAGGATGAAGTAGAAGAAACCAATTAGAAAGTTGTTTGGAAAGGAAAACATGTTGATTAATAGGCAGTGAGGAGCTGGTCAAGATGGCATCTGCCATAAAACCCAGCACTCGGGTGTATAAGACAGGTACATCAAGAGTCCAAGGCCAGCCACTGAGCAGCAATATTGAAGTGAAAGGTTAGGGATATGTAGGAGGAAAATTCTAGTTATCATGGTTCTTCCTCCAATATATTATATATGGATGAATAAAAGAAAAAAAAAAGAGAGAAAGCCTATTGCAAATGACATAGTAACAGCTGGTGCTCCAGGAAAAAACAAACAAACAAACAAACAAACAAACAAACAAACAAATTCATTTTGATATTTTGAGGGAGAAGTTCTCTTTCTCTCTTGCTGTAAAGTAGATTTACCAGGTATTAAGTACATATATAGATTACTTAGTTTCTGTTCTATATTTTTAAAATATTAAGTATGTATAAAATCACATTTCTAGAGTATGTGTAAACTATACAGTTGTGACCCAGTCCATACTCTCAGAGTCCCCACTAACTCTATAGACAGGAAAACATTATCATATTTTCAATGTCTTTTGTGTCCCTCCCAGATCTCTCATTCTTCCCCTCTTGGAGGTGAGCATGTTCTTGAGTTTTGATTCCACATGTTTCTCATGTTATTTATCACTGTGTGTGTGGTGTTTTGTTTTGTTTTTTAACTTTACATATGGAATCACACCAGGTACAAAGGAAAAACTAAAGTACCTCTAAGAAGAGATGAATTTTATTCTTTGAACATGATATGATTATATTAAATCATTGAAAATTAGAACAGTGGCAATTCAACAAGAGAAACAAATGAAGATCAATGCAAAATTAGAGTTTTTCATATTAGCATTGATTACTAAATAAAAGAAACCATTCTCTGTCTCTCGCTCACTTTTTTTTTTTTTTTTTTTTTTTTTTTTTTGAGACAGAGTGTTTCTGTGTAGCCCTAACTGTCCTGGAACTTGCTCTGTAGGCCAGACTGGGCTGAAACTGAGAGGTGCGCCTGCCTGTGGGATATTTGTAAAACAAAACTCGAAACCCCCTCGCCATATTTGTTTGGCTGTCATGAAGGGTAATATGACCACCAAATTCTAAGTAAATTTTTACTTTAAAAGAGAAAATGTTTTACAGCAAACTCACAGTAAGTTCTTTCCTTGAAGGTTTTCATGCATTCCAGGTAAGCTCTGTGTCCACTGAGCGACAGCCTCAGCCCTCCATAAGGATTGTCAAGGAACACACACTGCATTGTATGCTTTTTCTACCTTCTTTATATTCTGTGAGTTTAGAGATGTCATGATCAGAAGTTTGCGTCCCTTAAAATTCATTTGTTGCAAGAGTGAGCTTGTCAACAGCCTGTCACAGAAGAGGGAGGACTCATGAGGCTTCACCCCTGAGAACTTATGTGGGGTTACAGGTTGATGGTGGAGAAAGAGACCTTTTCTTCAATGTTATAGCCACTGGTGTGCATGCTCCTGTGGAGAAACTCTCATGTGCCTATAAACAATCCTAATGAAACCCGTTGGATCACATACCCAAAAAGACAAGAAAGAAGAAATGAGGCTAACTGGGAAAAGGGAGATTAGCTCAAGTTGAGAGGAGGCTGGACGAGATTGAAATACTATGTGTATGTGTTGGAGATATTATAATGAAATCTGTTACTATTTAAAATTAATCTGTGCTAAAAACATTTTTTTTTTGAAAATTCAAGATAATATTAGGAAGTGATGTCTCTGGAGAAGGTAATTAGGTTATAAGGGCAAAACCTTTATAAATGGTATAGGTATCCCAATTAAAAGAGACTCGGGAGAATAAGCTTGCTACTTAGAAGATATGAGGACGCAATAAGAAAGTGTTGTTTGTGAAGCATACTTCACCAGACACTGACTCTTCTATCACCTTCATTTTGAACATCTAGCCTCCAGAAGCTACAGATCTTTGTTGTTTACAAGCCACATGGTCAAACAATTGGTATTATTCAGGGTATTTTGCATCCTGAATGGACCAAGACAGGAAGAAAGTAAGGAAGGTTGCAAAGGAACCTTCCTTTGTGTGGGCAGAGGGACAGGGGGCCCAAGCCATAGGATGTGAGAACACTTGACACACAAGCATCTTGCTAGAGACATACTGATTCATTGTTTGTCTGTGGTTAGCTGGTTACCAGTGAACCGGAGCAGAGGACCAGAACGGAAAGCATCACACCCACCGCACCCTAAGTTTGGGTTTCCTCCAAAACCATTTCCCTTCTGCAAGTGGATGCCTTGGGGTGGGTAGGTTATAAGCAAGCGTTGGGAGGCTCCCACCATGCTCGAAAGTCCTGCATGAATGGCCATTCGCTTTTGCTTCTGCCTTTGATCACATCTACCTTGGGATCCATGGGAGGGTTTGAAGGTCATCTGTTCCCTGGCCTGTCCTTCTTTCTCTATGGACTTTATCATGCAGGACTTCTCTCCAGGGCCATGATATGCAAGTCCCCTGTCCAACATCCACCTCGCCGTCCTTGGAGTAAAGGAAGATGGACAACGTTACGGCAAATGTATTATATCGGCTTTCTGAAGATATTGTGTTCTTGCATTTTAGTAGCCCAAGAGTTGAATAGCATAAACTGGCAATTGGTACTCATCAGCAAGAAGCATCACCAGAGAGACTTCATGTTCCGCAAGCAGTGGCAGCATCTCACCCTCTACATGTCCTTCTTTCTGAGTGGGTGTGCAGACGTGGTCAGCCAGAACCTGCTGCCCAAGAGGTGTGTAGTTCTGGAGCAGGGCGCCCAAGCACTGAGCGTGTGTCTGTCTTTGCCCCTGATGGTGTCTCATTTGCAGGACACAGAAGGAGTGGAGCTGCAGGCTCACATGCTGCTCATTCAGGCCATGTTTCTATTGGCCCTTGTGGTGACGGTAGAGCTGTGGGCTCCCAACATGCTGCTGATCTGGATGCTGAAGGCCTTTCTCTACCTTGTCACAGGCTCCTGGCTGATGCAGATAGGCTTCATGCTGTACAAACCAGTCTCTAGCTATAGATGGATGGATGACGACAAAAATGACATAGCGTTTGCCACCACTTTCTTCTGTTGGCATGTGGCCTTTGGTGCCATCTTGATGATCTGGATCTACGGCTTCTCCACTTTATGGTATTGTCACCTTGGTACTGAAGCCTAAACCTGGACGTGTCCAAGTGGCTTCCTATTGCCTGCATCCTCCAAGGACATCTGGATGCCAAGTCATGAGAGAGGAGCTGTCAGACAGGAGGATCAGACATCCTTCAGAGGTGCCCCATCTTGAGATAGCTATGACCTTCATCCCTAGCTCCCCACAATCCTCTCCCACCCCCACCTCCAACCACAGCACCTGCTTGGCTTGTACCTCTTTGCACCCCTCACTCCCCTCCCATGAGAATGTAACAACTTTACTAAATCCTGTCTTTGGAACCTTTGATAACTATCTTTTACTTTATTGCTTAGAATGTTAACTGGAAGTCACATTTAACGCATCATAATTCAACCATCATAAGAGACATCTCTTCCTCGTTTCTTGCGCCCGACTTCTGTGATACTCATTCCAAATCCAGGCTGTCTCTTTGGCTAGGTGAAGCTCAGGACTGTTTCTGGTTCTTTCCTCTGACCACACTGTGATTTATCTGACTGAAAATCAGACCCCCGTGAGCAGAGCCTTCCTCTACAAGATCTGGTAGAATGCAGCAAACCCCTACACATGGGAGATGGCCACAGGGGACCCCAAAGCACAGTCAGGTTCTCTTCCTCAGCATCTCATCCCATTGCTCTGGACTCATCCCAGTAAGTTTTCAAATAATACACATGCCCAGCTCCAGCCCTCTACAGTTCCATGGATAATAAAGTCTGATGGCTTGCTTGCTCTGTCTCACAGCAACCCTGTTGGTGAAAGTTACCCAAAGCGCCAAAGCAGCTACATTCCATAATGTAGCTTTTGTTTGTTTGTTTGTTTGTTTGTTTGTTTGTTTGTTTGTTTTTGAGAAAAGGTTTCTCTGTAGCCCTGGCTGTCCTGGACTCCTTTTGTAGACCAGGCTGGCCTTGAACTCACTGAGATCCACCTGCTTCTGCCTCCCAAGCGCTGGGATCACAGGCATTCACCACCACACCTGGCTTCCATAATACTATAGCTGGCTGCTGAGGGAGTGAAATTCCAGTTGAGCTGAAGCACTGGGGCACCTGTGGTAGGAAGAACATTTCCCTCTCTGGATGGGGAGTAAAACATCTAATTAGGACAAGATGGGCTTGGAGCAAGGCTTCCAAAGGTCATTCTATTTATTGTTTATTATTGACTGACTGACTGACTGATTTTTCTAGTTTCTAGGAGAACTAGATGTGTCCTCTGTTTCTGACCCATTCTTTCTTGTTAATTTTCTTGCTCAGAAGTCAAGGTGTATCAGGGATCAGTTGTTACCTGGTGGTCAGAAACCCTCATTGTACGGTTTGGGGCACTTGTGAGAAGTCTGAGCCATTGTCAAGAGAAGAGTTGATTTCCAGAACCACTTAGGTGCATTCAAGCACATCTTTGCTTGTGATCAGATCAAATTCATGGCCAACAATCCTCAATGGCTTGTCCTGCATTAGTAGAATCATTAAGCCAAAATATCCCTCTCCAAAGGAGGAGAGAGGACCGTGGTATAGAAGTAAGGGATACCTCAGTTTTCATGCTTAACTTGGTCTTCAGGCTTCCATGCAGTCCTGGGGCTATTGGGACATTACAGTGTCTTGAGGTGGTGGTGGTGGGGGGCCTAGGGGTTGCCTTTATCCAGTTGTCACAGCTGAGTCCAAGCCCCTTGCTGCGACTCCACACCATGACTGTCTTTTCAGGCTTTGGTTCAGTTTCTGAGCCTTGCACGTTCTCAGGTGTCTTGAGGTTGGGGTGCTAGGTTCAGAACCCATTTTTTTATTCCACACATTTTCCTGTTGATGAGGCACAACTCTTATTTCTGCCCCACTCAGACATCACCCTTTTAAATTAAGAGCACATTTTGGAGTCAGACATGGTAGTACATCCTTGTAGTTCCAGCAGTTGGGAGGCAGAGAGGCAGGATATTTCCATGATCAAGGGCAGCCTGGACCACAAGCTGGGCATGGTGGTACATACCTGTAATTTTAGCACTTTGGGAACTGAATGTAAGAGAATCAGGAGATCAAGGCAACCCAGGCTACATGAAACACAGTCCCAAAGCAACAACAAAACAAATGATAGTTTGAACTATACAACAAATCCTATTTTTAAAGGGCAGGAATGCTGAGGATGCAGCTCAGGGTAGGGTGCTTGCCCAGCATATGCAAGGTTCTGGGTTCAAACTCCAGCATTCCATAAAAGCATTTTGGATTTTTTTTCATTTGAAATTAACTTTTTTCACTGTAATTGTAATTTGACCTCCTCTTCCTCTCTGTCTTTCTGTCTCTCTGTCTCTTTCTCATACGCACATACTAATATGAACTAAGTTCTGTGCCTACTCAGAGTTATCCTGAGATATCTTTGACTAAACAGGGGGAGACACCAAAACCAGTTCATGCCTAGACTTGTCCAACAGTGAACAGTTTGATGAATTCTGCCAAGCCCATCTCTTGTAGCAGATCACTGCTTCCAGATACTCTTAACACATAACTTCTAAGTAAAGTAATAAATGTCAAAGACATGAAGAATTTAGAGGCTGATGAAGTAGAGGAATAAATAGGCAGCTATTTGAATGACAGGGATCTTTCTTTCTTTAAAATTTTATTTTTTTAATTATTTTTAACTATGTACAGCTGTGTGCATGTACATGCAGGTGCCTGAGGAGACTAGAGGCATCAGGGCCCCTGGAGTTGTGAGCCACCTGATATAGGTGCTGGGGATTGAACCTGGGTCCTTTGGAAGAGTACTAAGTGCTCTTAACCACTGAGCCAACTCTCCAGTCTTGAAAAGATTCTTGCTTTACTGCTCTTGTCACAGTCCCTAAGAGCACTAATGAATCCTAATCAATGCTCAAAGCAAAACTCTAAATTACAGGTTTCAAGAGAACGGATCAATGTTTTTCATCTTCCACCAGAGGGCACCATGTTCACGTGAGCTGGGAAGACACGCTCTCCCCAGTTGGTGTTGACCTACCAATTTTTTTTTTTTTTTTTTTTTTTAATGTAAGAGACAGGAGGAGGCCAGGAAAAACACATAAGCAAATGTGAAAACATCCAGAAACATGGTATTGATGTTGCGTGATAGATGTGTGGACACAAATAAGCACAGAATCCAACTGATGAGCTCTCTTAGAGGTATGTGTGTGCACACAGGCGTGCGTCATGCATGAGTGAGTATGTGTGACCTCTTGGTCATTTAGTCTCTGACAATACCTTATAACTTGTGTGAAAAATAATTGGATGACTTTTTAAGAGAAAAAAAATCCATCATGCTGTGGATGTCAGATGGAATCATTCATTTCCTCTCTTAGCCCAAATAGTGACAAAGACATCTGTCCTAGACGCAGAAACCACAGGCACAATATAGGCCATTTCTTGTTAGAGAGGACACACCAAGATTGGTGCCAGGAGCAATGAATACTCAACAGTAGTGAGCTAATACTAGGAGCACAGTCAGGGGACATGCCTGGTGAATATACAGTAGTTGAAAATGGCTCTTTCTATGGAAAGGTGGAGCTAACTGCCAAAGATAGCATCGTGATTATAGTAAGAAGCAGCTATGCATTGTAGAAATGAGAATGGTCCAAACACAAGTATTATTTTAGTGGTGACTGAAGACAGTTTCCAGTGACAGGGAGAATGACATGAGTGATCCAATAAAATCGTGTGAATATAGCTCTGTGATGGGCAGTATTTTTGACTGTTCTTTCCTTTGGTACATCCAAAACAGTTTGGAAAGTTTCTGTAAGATGGAGTGTTCAATAAATATATGTTGAATGGGTAGGCCAACAAACAAGAAACTAAGAGAATCGGGATCCCCATCCAGTGTGCAGCCTTGACTCAGATTTTAAATAGAGTTTTTCCCTTCTATAAAAGGCTTTTGATATCTTTGCAAGCATTTGTTATGAATTCTCATCCTAATACTTGCTGATGACTTCCTGTCATTTCTAGGAAAAGTGTGGACTGGGGTAAAGGAGATGCCCAGAATTTTGGGACATTGTTGTATGTCGGACCTGGTACAAACCACACCTAGGAAATATCAGAGCTGAAACATAAACTCAGCTTTTAAACTTATAAACTAATATTTCCTATATTTGCCTGATGACAAGAATTATCCAGGGTACCTGCAAAGCATATGGACTCCTGGGTCTCATCTTAACCCTTATCATCAAAATTACCAGGTAAAACTCATGGTGCTGATGAATGGGAACCGGGAGTAGAAACCAGTCAGGTAGAGAAGGGATCCAGAAGCAACAATTCTAGGAATGTCCTTGCCAGAGGTAGGCCAGGATTGCCAAAAGAGGGTTCTGGTTCCACATTCCTTGAGATTTTTATTCTCCTAATCAAGCATTTCTGCCTAGAGGCTAAATGTGGGGGTTGGACTGAATCTCAACTAAATGCCTGTCCCTCTGGCAAACAGCTTTAGAATCAGATCTTCACGGGGGGGGGGGATTATATCTATTTCCTGATTTCAATCTGTCTTGTAATGATTTTCAAGGTATCCTCTTATTGATCAGGGCTCTGTTGAGGCCATTAAAGCAAAGCTACTGACTCCTGGTCAAAAAGAATCTAAGTTCTACCTTTGGTGCTGGGTAGAATCCTAATATCGCAAGCTAACCAAACCCAAGAGTTGATAAAACTGCACTTGTCAATTACCCAACAGAGACCACCCCTCAGGAAGGCTGATTCTCCTTTAGCCATGCTAAAACTGCAGGAGGAACAATTACCCCTTTAATGAGATGCTGTACTTTTCCTTCCCCCAAAGCCAACTTCCAATACAGTGGTGTAATTTTTTTTTTCCCCCGTTCTTCTTTGTCTCTTTGTTTTGCATGCTGGCAGAAGCCCATGAATGCTTTCCTTGGTCCTTTGGTCTTTTTGCTTTTCTCTCTGCAGCTACCTCATATTTTGTGGCTATTTGTTGAGCCTCCGTGCCCTAATCAAAAAAGTATGGATTTCTCCTCTTCTCCATCTCCCTCATCCAGGCAGATGCCAAGACTTCTAGCTTGTCTGAACTGTGCCTTTTCT